TGACGAAGACCTTCAAGAGTTTCGACATTACGAAGAGCCAGGATGTCGTCTGAGCATAGAATACGAGATGCATTTCGTATTCTATGCTCAACTCGCTATCCATTACTTTCAATTCAACTACTTTTATTATATCAAATTTAGAACGAGGTTGAGATAAATGAGTATTAATTGGGTAATCTAAATTTTGAAAAGATATCTCTTGTTTTATTGAAATGGAAATGGGTACTCGCGAAAGTGAATAATTTTTACCAATTCTTTTCACAATTAGTAAAACAATTTTGAATAGTGCATGACAATGCTTTATAGTTGCATTCCCGCAACTCTAGGAATTCTTTTAATCACTGGTATATTACTACGATAATTGTACAATCGTTCCGACAAAAGTGAAAAAATTGAGCTATGTATTTTTACGATAGGCTCTGAAGCCGAAATACTTTTACTATCCTTTAATATGTATTTTCCTTTATTATAGTATTTTTTAAATATTGTGTGGAACCTTCAAGTTAGATTTAATTTTATACTATGTTTTAACAATGTAAATATTTTTATATTATATATTACTTCATTAAATGTGCGATAAGGGAATTTTTTAGTTACAAACCAGTTGGTAACTCACTGGTATTAGGCGCTTTGCTGTCACAGAATAAATATATGTAGAAATATTGTTTCTGGAAGAGTTATATAATTTAATTAGGAGTGATAATACATATTTTTACAGTTGAAAGCTTAGGAGATAACTTTTTTATTTTAACTACACATTCCAGTTGTTACCTTGAGCTTGTGACATTTCTCATTCCACTGCATTGCATATATAGCTCCTAATAGTAAGTAGTAAATATATATATATATATATATATATATATATATATATATATATATATATATATATATATATATTACCGGTTCTACACGTATCATACGAAACACGTTTTACAGTGGTATCCTAAGAGCTCGTAGTCCTTTTCTGTTCGAGGACACATTCCTACTGCAGCAATGATACAGCGAGGATCTATTACGTAGACATTTAAAAGTGACATAAGGCTAAGCCATGTGCGATCGTCGCTTTTATTATTTTGTAAAGATAATTAATAAATATGGAATAATTTTAAAATTTAAAAAAAAACTTGAACAGCTTGATCATCGGTTCTTAATACCTCTACAAATTTCGAAATTATTCACCGGAAGTTGTTAAAGAGTCAATATTTCCACACATATGAGCGTTATTAGGAGATAACCTTTTTTAATTTAACTACACATTCCAGTTGTTACCTTGAGCTTGTGATATTTCTCATTCCACTGCATTGCACAGGGTCCAAAATCCAAACTTTTAATAAAAAAGTAAGAACGTGGTAGATGTCATGCTCCAGCTATATTATGCACGCTCTCATAGAATACCAGCGTAAAATAGCAGCTCAATTCTGCTGTGTTTCGTATGATAAGTGTAGTGAACCGGAGATGATTTTTACTAGAGACGAGGCATTCCATCTTATACTTCAGGGGAGATTAGATGTAAATGTCTATAAGCCACAGCATTCATTTACCATCAGGTGGACTGTGTGCTTGTTTGTCATCCTTATGTCCATCCTTATATATTATGTCTATATATTTTTTTTTAATTATTTTATATTGAAAAAAAAAAAAAAAAAATTTGCAGTATCATTAACAAGTGGTAAAGTTAAATTTTTGTACAACCGACTTCAATATAAATAAAATAAGAACATCGTCAATGTAGTTCAAGTCAATCAAATATGCATTATTAAGGATAACTCAAAAACTACTAGTCGATCATAATCAAATTTATATGGAACTACTTAAGACGCACCGGCTTTTAAATAAAAAAAGAATCATAAAATCACTTCACCTAAAAAAAGCTATGAAGCCTATATATATCCCACAATTGGGCAAAATACTCCTCTCTATTTCTGAGAGGGTTTTAGGGCAAGGTAGTGTCCGCCGTGATGCCCCAATGCGTGATCGCGAACTTCACATGTCTATGTTTTTTTCTATTTCTCAGGCATGCGGGTTTCCTCATCATGTCTTCCTCCACCATCGATCACGTGCTAAATCACCACTTAAAACTGCAATTAACAATTTCATTGTTGTCGGCCGGGATATGCCTATATATATATATATATATACTGACTGATTGACAGATTCATCACGAAATCTCAAAAACTATACAGCCGATTGACTTTAAATTTAGTATAGCTACTCATTTCGCAATGCAGACGTTCACTGAGAACGGATTTATAAAAAAAAGTTGATATTTTATATCTACGTTATTATCGTCTATTATCGTGCGCTCAGCGAAGCGAGCGGGTATCTGCTACGAGTGGTATCTTACATACCGCTAACACATGTACTCTTCTTTGTCGGTCTTGAGCAAAATTTAATTTTTAATCTTCTTGCAAAACTTGCTCTATATGGGGAGATAGGCGTAAATTTAATTTGGTCCAAAATTTTATTTTGGCAAGTTGCATAAAAATTAAAAATGTATCTATAATAAACGATCACTCTCTTCAACAGCGCCACCTACCGAATCGAATTAAGTTTTTAAATCATCAAAATCAATCGAGCAATTTTCGAGTTTTTGTGAGGCTAACGGAAAGTGAATTAATCTTTTTATATAAGATTTAGGATTTTTTCGTCATAATATTCAACATTGGACTATCCAATCCAAAATTTGTCACGTTTTGATTATCGTAGCGTGAAGCCACCTGCGCCCTGCCTAGTCTAGACATGTCGTGTACCATACAATAGAAGGAAGGGGTCGATATGTAATGAACTTTTTATACTTGAAACATGTTATATGTAAGACTGGATTGAACGAATTTTATTATTTGGAACAGAGAGTTTACAAGGCACCACGTATGGCCATCGAAGTAATCAGAGCTTGGTGAAATGGTGAAAATCATGTTGGTAAATAGATATAGATATAAATAGATATACAAGAAAGATTTTTGTGTGGCAGCACATACCACACAAAAATACCCGTAACTGTGTAGGACCCCAACTAGATGGATAGACGACCTGGTAAGACCTGAAGGAAGTTGATGGGTGTAAATGGCTTATATAGCGTCGGATTCTATTGTTGTAAAAGCATGTCAGTATGTTTACACTTCGTTGAGAGTATTATGTATATATATATATATATATATATATACAATATGTAACGTAACACACCCTCAGACACCCCAATTAGTATAATATGTTATAATCATAATACATACACTGAATTTTTAGTTAAACATTTTTATGCACTGATTATTTATCAAATTAGTTATACTAATTCCGGAAGAATGTTGTGGTCACAGTACAAATCCACGAACGCAAAGACTTTAACGTGCTTGAAATAAAGTTAATTTTTCTTTACTTTTATTGAATGACAGAATTAGTAATAATAAAAATAAAACTGCACTCTTAAAAGTCTTATTGCCTTAAGTTACGGTCCATTTCAGTTTGTTTTGACTGTAGAGATTTAGTGTGACTGTAATTTACTTAGATATATATATATATATATATATATATATATATATACACAAAATATGTAACATAATTAACGCACATCCTGAAAGTAGTTTGTTCAGAATCATTTACTGAATCGATTTCACACACTGACTTTTTAGTTAAACATATTTATGCATTGATTAGTTATTAAATTAGTTGTACTAATTCCGGAAGAATGTTGTGGTCACAGTACATATCGACGAACACAAAGACTTTATCGTGCTTGAAATAAGGTTAATTTTTCTTTCTTTTGTACAAATAAAACTGCTCTTTTAAAAGTCTTATTGCCTTGAGTTACGGTCCATTTCAGTTTGTTTTGACTGTACAGGTTTAGTATGACTGTAATTTACGTAGTTTTAATAATTTCTGGGATAAAAAATTACTTTTTTTATTTTTATTATAAATGATAGAAATCGATTCAGTAAACGATATATGTACAAACTACTATCAGGATATGCGTATATATATATGTTACATGTTGTGTATATATATACATATAGTGTTGTAATGTATTTAGTCTATGCGTACTATAATATACTGTTATTAAAATATAGCAGGTACGCGAAAATAATATCCTATTTAATTTGGATCAATGTTTTCTTTGAAAAACCGCTGTAAGCCGTTACATTACTTCTATGCTGTTTAGGCTTTTTATCATTTTATTTATTGGTATATAATTTATAGATACGTTTAAAACGTAAAATGTTCCCAGTGGATAATAAGGGTGTGTGCCGATATATACTGTGACCACTAAGGGTGTGTTCCGATATACCTACACTGTAACCACTGTAAGGTGTGATATCAATTCAGTATATTGTAAAGCCGTTCTTTTTTCGTTTGCTATACTGGATTACTGGATACTGGTTAATGTTTAAAATGGAATGCAGTCCAGTACACTGCCATCCTCATTTTTGATATTGTTTTCAAATGAAAATATTTGTCACGTACACGTTTTCTGTTCAACAAGAAAAATTATTTTTTTAATGTAGTTGCTTTTAAAATTTAATGCTCGAGTTTATTTGAATAACAATATTAATAAATAATAATAACAATAATTCGTGGAAGCTATTAAATCTCTAGGCACTGTTATGTTTTTTTGATCATGTAATCGAAACACTGGGAGCAGTTTACCTCGCCAGCGCCGGTGCTCACATTACAAAAAATGGCGGCTACTTATGACGTCATCGATGGCCCTAGGGTACTGCGGCAGCATACTGGCAGTCCATAACGGAGCGAATTTTTCACCAGTTACAGCACTGAGCAGTGCTTGCAGTGTATATCGGAATACGGCCTAAGTAAAACTCATCGCGCTACATACCGGACCGGATACACATCTGCCGAGCCCGCTAGTATTCGCATTATGGGTTTTTACTTTTTATATCACGATTTCTAATTCATTAGAATTTCTCCCGGCAACTAACCCAATTTATAAAGCTAAATTATTTCAACATCGTTATAAATAAATATAAGTACTTACAAAAAAATATACTCACAACCAACTTCCATTAGTCCAAGGTTCCCTCCGCTTTCGCGGTGTACCACCAGCTGCCAGAAGCCAAACGAGAGCCGTCAACAGGATCAAAAATCGGAAAACAGAACTACACGCCATCTTGTACACTAGCGTCACACAAAATGGTCGTCCTTCATCACGTTATATTTCACATTTGTCACTTATCACCATATAATTGTGGATTTAGCATTATTTTGTAATTATTATTAATATTCTTTACACTGATTAAAAAGCATTTTATAGATGTTAATACCAAGCAAGGAAATTTTTGTCCGGATGTTAATATTAAACGTAAAATTATTATAATGATTAAAATGTATTTCTTTTATATCACTGGGTGACAAACGAGCGTACTGCTCGTCACCCAATGATATACGTCCACCTGATGGTAAGTGGATGCTGTGGCCCATAGACATCCACTTTTATCCTCAATTAAGAACCAAAATGTAAATACGTTGTCATCCCTGAGGACTAAGATGGAATGCCTCGATTCCAGTAAAAAGGGTCTCCGGTTCTCTACACTCACCATACGCAACACAACAGTATTAAGCTGCTATTTTACGCTTGTATTCTGACAGGGTGTGGTTTTTCTCCGATCGAGCCGACCCATTCGTGCTACAACTGTAATAAAGTTATTGTTATTTAATTAAAATAATAGTGTTTTAATAGGTTCCTAAAAACATGATAATAACCCCTGGGAAGGGTGATCGCTACCAAGCTATTTCTAATTTGTCTTGTGTTGTTGATTGTAAACATGATTGTAAGCTATTATTAAAAAAATAGTCCCGCTGGGTTTCTTGCTGGTTCTTCCCAGGACAGAGGTTTTTTTTGCGAACCAGTGGTGAATTAAAAAAGTGATTTTCAATAAGTATTTTTATAATCTACATTGAATAAAAAAGTTTCTATTTCTATTTCATGTCCACTGCATAAATATGAACGAACTACGGTTAACTCATTAAAAAACGTTTTATAATTTACGTATCTGTGTAAATATAGAGATGTTTTAAATGCATTTGCTTTTTTATTGAGGTTTATCTTTGGTTTGTCGCTGCATTATATTAAAACAATCGAAGAATAACCACTAATTGGATTCTGTTATTGAATTACAATGGTCTGAGAGATATAATCGAGTTTTGAGATCTGAAAAGCTATAAGTACAAGTCTAGACATCGATTAATTTTACAAGGGATTAACTGTTAGATCCTTTAGGTAACCTTTTCTTCATTTTTTTACGTCACTCTCTCTAGCGTGTTCCGGGTCACCGTGGTTTCATCATGGCCCAGTATGGATGCATAAGGAAGAAAGGAAAATAACGGAAGGTGTTGTCTTCTTCTGAAGTGTAACTAGGGTCCAACGCGGCCTGGTCATTTTGATAACCCTCCATTGCAACTTGGTGGTCTAATACGAAGAGACTATTTGTGGAATTCTACTTAACTTTCTAATGTGGTAAACATGACAGAATTCTTCCCCGCATCTATAATAAAATGTATAAGGGCGATAAAACTATTTAAATGGTTTAGATGTACATTTGGACCCGGTAGGTTGCGCTTTTGTCGAGACCCAGAAATCACTCGTGCCAAGTCGGGGCGTATCAAGTCGGGGCGTATCACTAGTACTAAATAAAAAACTTAAAGAAAAGGTATATTTATGTGTAAAAAATGTTAGATTCCCATATTTGAAAATAAATTTTATACGAAGTTATATAGAACCCTAGAATATACACTAACTATCGATATAAAGGTCAAAGAAATTGAAAATTATGGGTTATGCGGTTATGCTCAATGGATTAGGATACTGGGCAATTGCGGTGAGACTTAGGACATCTGCAGTAATCACAGTGAAGCCTAAATACACAAAATGAACCTTCTAGTGCAATCCTGACTTCGAGGTGCAATATTGGTTTAAACGACTATAAGTGTAAAGAGCTGAGTCAGAACGCTCAAGATCTTTATAGTCAGCATCTTCCCGGTGTTATAACATTTTACACTTCCAACCTACAAGCATTTTATTATCTAATATTATTAAGAGCACTTTTTCAATCGTCAGGTCCGATAAAATATATCCGTGGAATGAATACCTGACTGAATATAAAAGCGAAACAATTGATCCATTTTATTCCTACAACTGTAATTTTTAATTTGTTCGCGTTGTATTTTATTCGAAGATTTTTTATGACAATTGAGAAATCGGTTCTCACAAGAATAACACGCCTTCCAACTAAAAGTTTTTTCGATGAAACGTGTTCTTGTTTTGTAGGGTTCACTTCCACGTAAGGACTAAAGAATAATTAATAAACTTTAAGGATCATAAAGCACTAATTAGTTTTACGAGCACGTAAAGCAAATGTTATAATTTAATTACATTCTAACGGAATGTAATTTTTTTAAATAGAACCATTTCTTTTGGTCTTCACATGTAAAAGGTACAAACCCGTCAGTAATTAATTAGTTTTATGCTTACTAGCGACTGTACGATCAATATTATTATGTTTTTGCATACCTTCTGGTGAAACACACACCACAACATCCATTTACCATCAGGTGGACTGTGTCCTCATTTGCCACCCTTATTCTATAGAAAAAAAATTTGACGCAGTTTATATTAAAAAACATATCATCATACTGTACGCATATTTGAGAAATAAAAAAAAATATTCTATTCTATTCAAAAAATAAATAAATAAATAATGCAAATTCATCGATGAAAAACAATGTCCACGGTTATATTTTTATTTCCTCTAAAATTACATTAATTCAAATAATATTTTCTCCTTAGTTATCATTCACAGCTTAAGTACTTATCCTATATGCATAGATTAAGAAACATTTACTTTTACTAATTTTCTAGTGCATGTTTGTGTTATATTTATATACTCCTTACGTGGTAGAGCCAAGCTGCAGCTATATTGTGGTTGCAGCACGAATGGGTCGGCTCGACCGGGGAAGGACCACGCTCTCACAGAATACCAGCGTAAAACAGCAGCTTAATGCTGTTGTGTTTCGTATGGTGAGTGTAGAGAACCGGAGACCATATTTATTGGAAACGAGATATTTCAGCTTAGTCCTTAGGGGTGACAACGCATCTGCGTTATGATTCTTAACCGAGAATAGATGTAGATGTCTATGGGCCACAGCATCCGCTTACCATCAGGTGGACTGTGTGCTCGTTTGCCACGCTTATTTTATAAACAATATACTAGTGACACCCCCTGGCTTTGCCTAGTTAGGTAGTATTAATGCTAATTATCAAACACCAAAAATAGTTTATTAGTTTAACGATTTTCTAAAAAAAAAAATCCTTTATTTTTTTAGGAAATAAGTTAGCGAGGATTACTCCTGGCATTGCTCTATCTATTCGTAAAGTCTTATTATCTTTTATAGTTATACAATATATATATATATATATATATATATATATATATATATATATATAGTATATATGATATATATATATAATATATGTAATTATGTATATACAGAATTTAAAGATGGCTATTCACGTCTTAAAAGCATGTAAATAGGGGGTTGTATATTGGTAAGTGGTTTAAAATATCTTGTTATGATATTATAAATAGAACTTAATATTATTTATATATTTTTTTAAAGAATAAGGGTAACAAACGAGCCCACAATCCACCTGATGGTAAGTGGATGCTGTGGCCTAAAATGGAATGTCCCGTTTCCAGTAAAAAAACGTCTCCGGATCTCTACACTCACCATACGATACACAGCGGTATTAAACTGTTACTTTACGCTGGTATTCTGTGAGAGCGTGGTCCTTCCCCGGTCGAGCCGACCCATTCGTGCTACAACCATAATATAGCTGCAGCGTGGCTCTACCACATATAAATATGTATGAATTTATTTATTGCAAGAGTTATTCTATCTATGATATAAACCCACTTTGTATATACCCGTCCCATTTGTCCATTACAGCATATAAAAGTCAACTGCTGAACATAATGTATCTCGTGACTTATTGGTGACAGTATTATTAGCATGCATCGATATATTATATGTACTACGCACTAGATATGGCGTTCCGAACACTCACTATGTTCAACTGAACTGTACTGCAATCCGTACACATGTTATTGTGGCTTCGATATTCATGCAGTGCGGAGCGGCGCTAATAATTATTTTATATTAAATTAGCACATATCCAAAATAAACGAAAATTAAAAAAAATGAACTCGATTAACAATACAATCTAAATAAACAATAATTATTTATTATGACAATTTTCGCGCGTTTATAATATCAACTGCGCATTCGCGACTCTACTGTTTCCCGCGCATGTGCGGATACAGAGTAGTGCACATTTTTTGTTTGAAATAGCTTCTCTGGTACGTAGGACATATAACTCAATGGTGCGTTTGGCAAAAAGGTGCAAGCGAACAAAAAGAAGCAATTAAACGGGAATATATTTTTAAAATAATAAAAAAAGTTTAATAAGAATAAAAAAAAAAAAACAAAAAAAAAAAAAAAAAAAAACAACCGAAAACAGGCCACGAAAACATGAATGCCAACCTTTAAAAGTTCCGTCGTTTACATATTTTACCGGCAATTTTAAATTTGGAACTGTAGTACCTATTCAAATTTATTTAAAGTCAGAATCTCAAAACAATTGAAAGTATGAGGATAAATGCTATTATCCAGTCACAGAGTCGTTTTGAATCTGTCAGGTCAAGTATGGAAATGAATCTTACTAAGGAAAATATCCGTGCAATAAGTTTCTCCAACTTTCGAAGCGGTCTAACACGGCTTCAGGGTTTCGAAGAGCAAATTTTTGTGTTCCATGTTAAAACTCCATGTCTGAAGATTGTCGAACGCTGGTATTTAGAATTCCAGCGTGGACGTAAATACACAAAATCCGCTTTCACTGAAGATAACGTAGTTGCTGTGAGAAAACTAATTTTTGAAGATCATCATATGACATATCGAGAGATAGAGGCGTTATTAGGTATCTCAGGATGGATGTTCCATTTAGAAGATCTTGCATGAAGCGCTTGATGTGAGAAAAATAATTTGCCGTTGGATCCAGCATTTGCTTTCAGACGATCATAAGGAGACTCGTGTCAGATGGTGTAAGAAAACTCT